GCGGAGGGACCGTGCGGGGGACTGCGTAAAGGCGCACAGCTGCGGGCGGGGCGCGCAAAGCACGGCGACATCGCTTGCCGGCACGGCGCAAGCTAGCCCTGGGGGCCCCGGGGCTCCCCGGCCTGGAAGGCTTTTCCCCGGTGGTAACTTTGGGTGCCACACGTAAACGCAACGGTTCCTTTTGCAGAGCAGGTTTTTATGTTTGTTTGCTTGTTGGGTTTTCTTTCTGAGATGTGCCCGCCCGTTGCTACGTGATGGAGAATCGCTGCCAAAGTGTAATGAGTTGCAGCCATGAGACGTTGTGCTGGTCCTGAAATAGTTAAATTTTTCGTGGTACCTCTTTTTTTCCAGGACCATTATAAATGTTCTTATTTAACAAACCGCCACACACACCACCTGCTTTTCTATAGAAAGTGTTACAAAGTAAAGCCCCTTGAATCCAAGCTTAATGAAATGAGCAGATAATCTTTCTAGAGAGAGACTATCAGACTTCCTTAATGACTAGTTCCACTTTATTACTGAAATACAGACCTGGAAGCTCCTGTTTTATGTGTTCAGCTAACATTCCAGATAGTACTGTATGAACCTTTAAATAACTCTTATAATCATCTCATCTTTCTAGTAATTCACTGAAATTTTCTGTTAAATTCTGCTAGGATAAAGGGCCGAAGCCAGAAATAAAACCATTTCAAAGGACCTGAGAAAAGTTGCTTCAAGCTACACCCTTAAATCATGCTGAAATATCGGTACTTAAATGCTGTATATGAAGTTATAGATGGTTTTATAGCTAAAAATATACTGAATAGATCTAAATTAGAAATGTTTCTTTTTATTTAATCAAATAAATAGAGGCATGGTTAGCTGTGTAGCTTTGGAGAAGGAATTTTCAAAGTGTAGAAAACCTAGATATATGGTTGGTCAACGTGTAGATTTGGCTGTTTGAAAGTATTACAGCAAATTATTTCACTTCCTTCTTTTTTTTTTTTTTTTTTTTAACATCATAGATGTCCAGAAACTAAATATGCTATGAAAGAAGAGTATAGCTACAACTAAAATGTAAGATATATAGAAATGCATATTTGGATGTAACAGAACAGCAATAATATAACCTCCAATATGTAGTGTAAAATAGATAAGAGTTGGTTTATTAGGCTGTGATTAACCACTTTCGGAGATGGAGTTCCATTTAGCTGAAAATAATTGCTGTGCTACTAGAACTGATGTCTCTTTGTATAGAAGTGTCACTGGGGTATAATGACATGAAGATTTTAGTAAGCCATTACCATTAAGTAAATTAGTTTGATTTTGTTCGTAGTATTTTGTGTATGCAAAGTGTGAGGTAATTGCAGAATCTTTTATTTTCTGTGTTCCTTGTTGTCATTTGCTTATAGAATTACTGCTTTATCACCTAAGGGACATATATTTTTTTCTTTTAAACTCAAAAAAAAAAGACTATTCCTTTTGCAGTGCAGCTCCGGGTAGGTATAGTAGTCCTCTCTAAATCACTTTAGAGAAGTATTGAAATGTTGGTGTCTTTTTTTTTTTTTTTTTTTTTTTGTTTTAAGCTCTTTGTAATAACCAACATATGGGAAATGTCCTTCTTATGACAAAGAAGATGAAGGGACCGTGCATCTTAATGACTGATTAGTAATACTTTAGAGCAGTAAGAAAAACAATACACTTTGATTTAAGCAATGAAATTGTTAAGATTAATGCATATCTGCTTACATGTGGATGGTACATAATCATTTAATCATCTGCTTACAAGTAAATGCGTCGTTGTGGTTGTAGATTTTTTTTTTATAATATGAAGAAAAATATTATTTTGTACAAAAGTTATATTAATATAAAACCTTTAAAATTCAGACCTTGTTCTTTGGTTTTACATTTTTCCACTTATATTTGACAATCAGTGGAAATGCCGTTTTTTTTCTTTTTTAGTAATACTGCTGGACTCTAAAGCACAACAGACAGAGTTGGAATGGATTTCCTCTCCTCCTAATGGGGTAAGTATTGCAGGTAAAAATTAAGTTCCTGAAGATGAGTAGTTATTTTACCAAAGCAATTGAATGACATAGTTTAAACTAGCTCCCCCTTGTATTCGCCTCAGTAATCATATGAGTGTTTACAGCTTTTCATTTTTAGAATCGAAAAAAGCGTACTTCAGGTTCCAGTGTTCAAATGTACAAGCTAATTAAAAGGAGGAGTATCCTGAGAAACTTTCTTAAATGTTCTCAGTAGCTTTATGTTTTGTAGTGTAATCCTTTGTGCTGTACTGGAAAGCTCTATATATTTATAACACAGTGTTTTAAATCACTTTTTTCCTTCTTCCTATAGAAACAGCAGGTTGACTTCAGTGTGGAAACTTTCCAAATATAGGTTTTTCATTTTCTGTGTAATGGGTGATCATAAAGTTGTGTATGATGTTTTCTTTGTAATTGAATAGCACAGATTGAAGTTCTCTAAAATAAAAACATTTATTCTGTGGATATGTTTGAAATGACATTCCACACTTCAAACATCCACAAGTTTTGAGGTGCTTGATATTTTGAACTAGGCACAAATTATGTGGTTAAGGCTACCTCCAGCTTGCTTACAAATTAATCTCATGGTACTCCATGAAATGTATCATTGTAAATGACATCATTGTAAAAAACGGCAAGTTTAGAAGCTTCGGTGTATAGTCTTATTTATTATATACATAAAGTTGAGAAATGCTGCTTTCAGTCTGAATTAGAAATGCTATAAAACCGCTTCTTCCTCAAGCCTGGAGAAAGAACAGAGAAAAAACACTTTCAGAAAGATATAATGGGTATATTGTCCTACCTTAAGTCAGTCCAACCTTAGCTCAGTTTGATAAATGCAAAATTATATGGACAGTTCTCACTCATGGAAGCGATCTTGCTGAATCCATTGTGAGTACTTGCATGAACAAGGTCTTGGGGCATCAGGCCCTTAATCTTCAGCGCATTAAGAAATCTGGAACCAGAAGAGTGTGAAGTGTGAGCGGGGATATAAAAGTGTAACAAATCCTTTCAATAAGAAGAATGAAAATCTGAAAGTGTCTTTCTTTAAAAGCAAGATCATAAAATCAATACAAGCATAAACTGGAAACAAATCCAAAGACTTCGGAAAGAATGTAATGCGAGCTCAATGGGTGTGATGGCTAATAACCTCGGCATTAGCGTTTTGCAGATTGAAGCCTTTACAAGAGGTGTTTGAAAGATTAGCTTGGTGGCAATTATATTAGGCTAACCTGTAGATAATGAAAGACATGTCAACACATGTTACACATGTCAGCATACTGGAAGATGAAAGTAGAGTCAAATTCAACAAATAGTAATAGGTGACTTTCAGAGTTGGAAGCCATAATTAGAAGTGAATCAAAACTAATGGCTGGACTTGTATGTGTGAAAATGCTCAGAAACATACACATAAATCAACATAAAAGTACCGTTTTAATAACGTAATTTTGAATTTTTTTTTCTTGTTTTAATTACTGAAATTTTTATTATTCAGTAAAGACTTCCTTGGAATAAACTCAGAAAATTTCCTTCTTGAGAGAAAGTACTGCATCATCAAAGAACAGAATATATCAGCCAGACACTCGTTAAATGCCCCATTCAGCTGTAAATGTTACATTGAACAATGATCTTGAACATTGCTAAGATAACTAAGAAGTTAAAATACCATATATTGAAACCAGCAGAATAGGACACATTCAAATGGAATTGCATGTATATCGCTATGCATCGCAGCAAGACAAAGAAAAGTTAAATATTCTTGCTGTAAAAGCTATCATGGAACTGATAATTTTAAATATGCTTCAGTGAAATATGACCGTAGATGGCATAGGTGAAAACATATCCTGGAGTACTGATGTTGTATTTTTATCTCCCACAAAGAAGCAGGTACACTTCTAATGGACTAGAAATAATAGTTTGGTGATTACGTAATTGAACCATAATTCATATTTCCTTAATTTTTTTAGGAAAATGATACTCTGGTTTTAGGAAAATATGGAGAAATAGACATCAGTGTTTAGTGCTAGGGATAACATAAAGTAGGACTGAATTTTATCTGAATTTAGAGTTTTGTATTTATTCTAGCATAAGAATATCTCTGATACTGGCTAGCTTTTGACCCCAAGAAGCCTTATTTGTGTTGTATTATGAAAAATGGTTTGATTTTTGTTAATTGTATTTTGTTTGTTGTTGTTTTGTTTGTTTTGCTTTCTGTTTCTTTTTTGGAGGCTTGGGGATTTGTTTTGTTGGAGCAGTCCACATCAAAACCTGAGGAGTTAGGTTCTGTTTTGTGTTGTGTTAGAGTTGCTTCCAATTCAAAGATATGATACATCGTCTAACTGGAATATATCACTGCAGAATCTGGCTTGGTGTTTTGAGGGAGGACTACTTACACAAGATAACAAACAAACAAAAACCCCAGGACCAACTCAAAAAAACACCCAATTTCAATGCTACCTGATGTGAAATAGAGAATATAAAAATCAGTAAAAATTTAGGCTTCATGCCTTTTTTTGTCATATTTGTGTTTTGTTTCATTAGTTGGTTGGTTTGTTTTATTTTGCTTTTCAACATGGCAGAGCCAAAAGCCTCAGTCTGGGGCCCCTTTTTAATTTCCTTATTTGTACTAGTTCTTATATGGAAGGGAAAAAAAAAATCTTACTCAGGTCTAATAAGTCTATTATGAAGATAGGCTTTCTTCTGTTTTGAGATTAATACAGTTCCATATAGCAGTCACTTCAGTTAACTCCGTGACCGTTTAATAATATATTTCAATCATATAATACCATACATACCACATCTATATTAACTGTAGGTCTTTGAAATGTGCTTTGATATTTACAACTTCTGTGCATTTCGGCATCTGCAACAGTGATATATTTTGTGGTGATAACTTCCAGCATCAATTCAGCCACATCTGCTTTTTCTTGGAGCAGTACACCAACAGTAAAATGATCTCGTTTGCTGTCAAATAGGTTTGCAAAGTACTGTATACTGCAGGATTCCTGGTTGGGGAAACCAATGCCTGCCAGTCTTGGTTACTGGTGTAAGGAATGTCAGTAGGTGCTCCATCCTGAAGAGGTGCTGAGTATGCTAGTCCCACAAAGCACTTAAGCACATGCTTACCATTAAGCTTGTAAGTACTGTCATTGATCTTAAGCATGAGTTTAAGTGCATTATTGACACAGGGCCAGAGTGCTAAGTGCCATGGTCATGGTTGTCTCTATCATTGGGTGAGGATAGCTCAACCCCCTCCCCTAATTTATTACAGCTGCAGTTTCAGCAGTAAATTAAATGATTCAAGAAATGTGAAAAAGGGTGACAGACGGATATTGTTTTGGTTACACCTGGGCAGATCTGCCTGGTTGATTCCAGCGGAAGGTTTGCCATTGCGGAGGTGCAAATTCCCACATTCCCAAAGGCTGTTAAAAACTATGGGGCTGTTACAGGCTTACAGTTTTGTTACGTAGTTGATGCCCTAAAGAAGGAACAACAAAACTCAAGCTTTGAACCAGTGAACTTTCAGTCAAGTGGATTGTTCTTAATTATGTCTGTAATCTCATGGTTCATTTGAACTCCCAACTAAATGAAGTTAGCTCCTTTTAACACGGATGCAGCCACTGAACAAAATGTGAGCCGAAGATCACCTGCTTACCTTCTTTGGTTTGCGAGTAGGAGAGAAGGTGGACTGAATAAAAAGAGGACAACCAAAATGTTTTCTTGTTTTCAGACTTTTAATTCTGTCTTGTTTTCTCTTGCTTTCACTCTATTCCCCTTTCATCATATGGGAGTGAAAATCGTTGGATTTGCAAGTTTCAGGACCTGCTCCCGTGCTTTCTGTACAACTGAAAGTTCCACTGGAAGTTTTATGTACACAAATTATATGTCCTGTAACACTAGGCAATTTCAGTGTCTAAGACTTCGCTGATTTTAGGTTTCTCTTCATGACCTTAAAGAAATGTGAGAGAGCCTCATGTGTTATCAGAGCTTGGTACGCTGAACAGGCTTCTCTGAGGCTTTCCTTTTACAACTGTGCTCCTGATATGACAATGATTTTTAGAAGTTATTTATATATGGGAAAGACACAGAGGGAGAGAGAGTGGGCAGCTCTGTTAATACAGATTTTCGTGCTTAAGAGTATTTTAACTTTAACTTACCTTTTATGGATCTGTACTGTTAGAGAGAGACTTGAGTTGTGTGAAGTCTTTTAAAATACACAGTAGTTACGTCTGGTAGCATACTTGTTTTGTATTACTAACTGTTTGTTATTGTTTTAGTGGGAAGAAATTAGTGGACTGGATGAAAACTACACTCCTATACGAACATACCAGGTATGCCAGGTGATGGAATCAAACCAAAACAACTGGCTTCGGACTAACTGGATTGCAAAAAGCAATGCACAAAGGATTTTTGTAGAACTGAAATTCACTCTGAGGGATTGTAACAGTCTTCCTGGAGTTCTGGGGACTTGTAAAGAAACTTTTAACTTGTATTATTATGAAACAGACTACGACACTGGCAGGAATATCCGAGAAAACCAGTATGTAAAAATAGACACTATTGCAGCAGATGAAAGTTTTACCCAGGGTGATCTTGGGGAGAGAAAAATGAAACTTAACACAGAGGTGAGAGAAATTGGACCTTTGTCCAAAAAAGGATTCTATCTTGCATTTCAGGATGTAGGGGCCTGCATTGCTTTGGTCTCTGTCAAAGTCTACTACAAGAAGTGCTGGTCCATCATTGAGAACTTAGCTATTTTTCCTGACACAGTGACTGGCTCAGAATTTTCCTCTTTAGTTGAAGTACGAGGAACTTGTGTCAGCAGCGCAGAAGAGGAGGCGGAGAACTCGCCGAAGATGCACTGTAGCGCAGAAGGAGAATGGTTAGTGCCTATTGGAAAATGTATCTGCAAAGCAGGATACCAGCAAAAAGGAGACACGTGTGAACGTAAGTAAACATACATCTTGCTGTAATATGTATGTTATAGGTCATGTTCTACCAGCTTATTTTTATTATATTTTTTCAAGAGAAATATGTCATCAGTCAGCTTTTAAAGATCCTCAATCTGGAAACTTCACACTGGCTAATCTAAAGCAGCCCTTCTGGATATTGAGATCAGTGGGTACATACTCCATTTTTAAATTGAAACAAGAAGAGTTAAAGTTGTATGAAGTATAAATACAGATTCAGGACTGCTATTTTAAACCAATTAAGGTGATGTTCCTGTACCTCTTGGTAATGCTGAGTAAGTCATACCTATTACAGAATACTGTATCAATAATCTTAGATATGAGTAGTTAAACAATTTGTTCTTTCACATGATCTGTGGCAAAATTACAGTGAAACTAAAACTGAGGTAGTAAATGTAGAATGAGGTGTGGTTAGTTACGGGAAGAACACACACAATAAAAACTTAGAGGTTTGTGTTGAGTGCGTAAAAATTAAAACACAAGATAGAACTTCCAAACAGAATATCAAGGTTTCATAATGTAGTGTGTTTTCCTTTCTACAATATCTTTTTGCATAAAACTAACCTAAACTTTTGGCTTGCTGTAGGATCACAATGATTAGTTTAAAATGCTAGCACATCTGAGACACTGAGTTCTGCTTTCTAATTCAGACTGATTCAGTTATCTGTATTCTTAGAATGATACCTTCATCATTGCTGTCTGTGGGGCTACATGTGTAAGGCATTTCTGTGTGTGTGAGAAAGGATATTTGTCTTTGCTTACAGTAAAATCATGACAATAGGCAGTTTGTTTGAAGACAGGTATTTTCATGTACATTTGATACAGATCTATCATTTTAATCATAAGATAATGCAAGGAGCTATATACCATCATATTTTTATTGTAAGATATGCAGGCAGTTGTTGGTAAGAAATGTTTTAAGTCAAAAACTGGAAAAAAAAATCTAGAGATCTGTGAAGAAGAAAAACCTACAGAATCCAGAAACAAAGCTGGCAGCAGTCACTGGGTCTGTGGTGTCTGTGTGAAGACTTCAGAATCTGTAGAGAGTTAGGGACGCCCTAAAGCGAAGTAAATGATTCTCCTTATTAATAATTTGTCCTCAGGAAATAAAAACATGATTGTGTTCTTGACGAGTTTTTATGAGGAAATCTGGTACAAGGTGAAGTTGAGTGGAATTGATCTGAGGCCTTTCTAGCCTTGCACAAATCTTTCATTGTTCTGTTGGGAAGGGATAAGGGCTTATACACTGTGGAAGGTGATCTCATTAGGAGTAATTGTAATGTGAAAAACTGCCCTCACAAAACCATTCAGTAGACTGCATTAAAGCTCTGTTAGAAATATTGAGCACTGTGTTGCTTTCAGATGTTTTTGTTTGTTTTTTTTTTTTTTTGAGTGACTGACTTTTTTCCTCAGTTAACTTGCTTTTGATTAAAGACCTAGTCATGGTTGATGTAATTAATATACTAATTTTACTTGACTTTCAATAAAGGAGAAAAAGTATCTAAAAAAGAAGAGAGTGTATGTTGGGAAGTGGGTGGGGGACAGGAGCTGAGTGGGTGTGTGTGGGATGGATAGAGAAGAAACTGCTGTTTGGTAACTGAAGTGCAAGTAACCTGTTTATTAAACAGGCTTAATTTCTAACTATGATGATGTTGACAAAAGAATTAAATGATAACTTGTACTTGAGTATAGTAGTGAGCTCATTTGCAAGAACACTTCCTGCTTTTGGCTTGCATCCAAAGCAATCACTAAGAGAATACGCTACCCTGGAAACAGTCCAGAAGATCATTTATGGTATTTTTCCTCTTTTCTTTCAGTGATCCTTTTAAGAGTTTCAAAACAAACTCTGGCTCCATATTGAGGCAAGTTAATGTATTAGAAAGGGAAAAGGTGGGAGGCAGGCACTTGCTGAATGCGTGCCGTCGGCAGCTCGGAGTCAGAACAATCTGGGAGACTGTGGTGCACAATAGTAATTGCTGTCTGTGGTACTTGTTAGCTGTGTCTGTGCTTGAGGATGTTATTAACTATGATCAACTATGTAGTGACCGATAATACAGCTGGCACACTGATACTGTGTCTGGTTTTTGTGACAGATATTGAGAGAAACTTATCTGAACATTGACACTAATGCAGCTGGCTATCTGTTACTGTCAAGCTGTGTAACAGATCAAGCAGAAGCAAGTTGGTGTGTGCTTTCTTAACCCAGAGCTTTTACAGCCCTGTCTGAGGGCTCACTTCTGCAAATACTTTGTACCTGGCATGCTGCGTGACTTCTTTGGGACTACTCATGGCAGAAGGCATTGTGCTCTGTCAGGATAGGCATAAGTCTGTGATTCCTCTCTCACACTTGCTAAAGCTCAGCTGAATTAACTTAACACAATAGGAAGGTCTTTTAAAGGTAAAGAATAATACCTTATCTGCCTGCATTGTAGCAAAGGTAGGAGTAGATGGCCACATTGTAGTTCCAAATAGCAATTCAGCCTGTAACTCAGTGGGGATTTTCATTTGTGATATGCTGGCTTGATTGGCTGGCTGTGATTGAAGAATGTGTTCCTTTTGCATACAGCTTCTCTCCTGTGTGTGAAATTTATTGAGTTCAGATACTAAAACAATTGAATTTTGATTTATATGCAACTCTGCACTGGATGTGCTGCCAGAAGCTTCTTTTTTTTTTTTTTTGTTGCATGAATGTAGTAAGTAACTAGTAATGGTGGGGAAGGATAAGGAAGAAAATAATTGTGAGCAGTGAAACACATAACCCTGAAAATAAGCTCCTGCGTGCCTCTTCTTTAGTGCTCGAGCTTTCAAACTGCATTAATATTTATTTTTTTTTTCTGATGTACACTGATTACTTCTTAGTATAGGTATGCCAAGGAGTCCATTCCACCTCAGTTATCTATCATAACACACGTACATAAGAAAGCCATATTCCAGAGAACCCGTAATTGTCATTTAAAGCAAAATCTGAAAGCTGAGGGAAACAAACATGAGAAAACTAGATGAGCCTCTGAACTTTGAATTGCAGATTATTTTGCTTATGTGCAAGGATGCTATCTCCTCAATGTTGATCTTGTATCTGCTGGTATGTAATACTAGGCATAGGTGTGGAAGTTGTATGTTTTAAAGGATTGTCCTGAAAGGTGCCTACCAGAGGTACTTAGAAATATTCAGTTCTTCCAACATCCACGTATTGCATCTGTTCTGACAAAAAACAAAACAAAAAAACCCACAAAAAAACCCCCCAAACCCAAACCAACTACAAAAACCCAGTAGAGTTCTCAGTAATCATAGTGGACTCCCAGTAGGTCTAACTTTGATTCTTTTTCTCACAGTGGAATTCAGTCAATATGTTGTGCATCTAAGGAACACTCTGTGATCAGTGATTGGTATTTGAAGGAGAAGATAATTCTTTGAGAACTTCCAGTGTGATGTATTTTCCATCTGTTTTGTTTCATCTGGGGGTGGGGAAGGAGAAAATTAATTTTATGCAATCTGAGCAATGGAGTGATACTTCAGAAGGTAGAAAGCATCTCTTCATACAACTGGACTAAAAAATTACATAGATGGTTGGGCACCAAGTCCGACATTTCAGGTTTCTAGGGAAAGCCAAATGGGTATTTTGTAATACTGTGTGCATCAGCAGTTGCTTTATTGGCCCCCAAATGGGGAGGGGATTATAGCTGTTTGTATGTTTTGTCTTGGTGCGATGATAGAAAGAGAGCTATAGGCTTTTCTTTCCAGACTTTGTCATGTGCTGTATATTGTGCCAGATTACAAGCTGTATCTGTCCCTTCTTTTTTCAAACTTTTACGTCTTGACTTTGTGAAATGCTGCATTTGTGGTAAATTATATGTGGTTGTGGGTTTTTTGTTTTGGTTTGGTTTTTTTTTGGTGGATTTATCCATTTATTTTTTAGTGAGGTTTGTTTTGTTTGTTTGTTTTAAAATATTACTCCACTTATGAGCTGATGTGCCACAAGTTTATTAGTAGAGGCCGATGAATTAAGGGGGAAATGTGAATACTTTGTCATTAAAAGAATGTCACATATTGTGAATTGAGTTTAGAGTTTAGCACAGGTAATGTGTCCAAAAAGCTGTAGGTGACCTGTAGCTTGAGTAACTTATGTTGACATTCCTGCATTTTCAACTTGAAAATGTTTTACTTTGTGGAGAAAGGGAAGAACGTTAGAAAACTTCCTCAATGGCATTTACATAATCAAGACTCTAAATGCTTCCTTTTTTGAAGAAGAGTTACCTTTCTTCCATTTGCTTCCAAAATTACTCTAGAGAAGAGAATGTAATTATTCTCAGCAAATTGAACCAAAGCAGAAAATGAGGATATCTCTGAGTCTTGTAGTTTTCTCTGAAGCCAGCAGTAGTTCAACAGGAATGTGTCTTCCTCCTTCCTTTTTTATCCCCTAACATATTAAATAATTTTTCTGTCTGCTTTTAAAGAAATGTCATTGTGATCTGGTATCAGGTCCCAGATACAGCTGCATAGGAGCAATAGGATTTTAAAACAATAATTAAAAAAATAATCATGTATATTTCCAAAGGAAATATATTTCCAAAGGATCCTTGCAGGGTTCAGAAAAATATATCAGATACTTCTAAGTTAAAATTAAGACCTTCTAGCTAGATGGTCAAGAATACTGAAGGTGTTCCTACTAAGAAATGCAGAGCTGTGGTTTCTGCTTCCAGCCCCCTTTGGAGTTTCTAGAAAGTTGAATGCTTTGGCTTTCATTCACCCTGGGTCTTCTGACAGCCCTTGCAAGAGAGATGTGGTAGAAAGATGTATTTTCTTGCTATATCTTTCTTTTGGAATAGTCTAATGTTCATAGAGAGAATGATTTTTATGAATTTGTCAATGTCCCTAAGTCATTCGAGTTTCTTTGACCTAATTTGTTCATGTGCTTCAGCTTTTTGGATGCATCAACACAGAGATGAGAAGGGGAGAGGAGCTATGTAGACATTAACA